TATCTCACATTTGCAAACTCCAAGATTCTAAGACTTCCTTAATTGAGTTAACCTAACTGTATCTATGTTGAGCAAAATTCAGGGGAAAAAAATTCTACTCAGGAATTTTTTAAAATAACAGAAAAAATATTAACTAGTAGTTATTTGTTGAGTAAAATGTACTACAGGTTTATGCCTTTAATTTCAAAGTCAAAATTAAAAAGGAGAACTGTTTCAAATATCAGGAGGATAAAAAGGAACACACACTGCTAAATCTAACACTCAAAATGACATTCTAACATTTACCTGCCTAGTGTTCCTACCTGATCCTAAAGTTTAACTTGTATCTTCATTCTATTTCATTATTAAATGTCTTAATAGTTTGTCACAGTGAATCACTAAATACATTCATGAACATATACCATATTTATTTATGAATCTTTCCCTTCAAGCAGATGAAGTTGGAAGTGCTAGAAGTTGGCCAGTTAGAATCAAGAGATTCCCACTGTTTCTGTATCCTGAAAAGTAAGTTAGCCTTCAGAAGAAACTGCAGGTTGGTAAAAGTAGTCAGCAAAACACATTCCTTCCCTAAATAACAAATGATCCCAGCAGGGCTCACTCATGCTAGTATGAATTCTTCATGCCACTTCCGGATCTCATGTGCAAATTCATTTCAAAGACCAACACCCGTCATTCTGTGCTAACCCTTACCTTAATATTACCTCAAAGTCTTTATCCTCAAGCAACTCAGTTCTACTCCACTGCAATGCCTACTTCTCACAACCTTACTATCACTCACCTTCCTCTGTGTCTTATGAACATCACTTTCACCAGGGTTGCCAGATTTAGCAAAGAAAACCACAGGAAACACTCAACACTAAGTTTAAAACCAAATACACAACAAATAATTTTTGTGTGGGTGTGTCCCAAACTACTCACTGTGAGCCTGATGTTCAGACTTCACTAGGTAAACTTACTCTGTCAACCTTGACCCCACACCTCTGAGAAGATACCTTGATCTGTGACAATTTTCTCACAACACGCACCTTCTTTCCAAATTCTATTTTCGGAAAAAAAATCTAATCTGTCAACATCCCTTCTCTGAACAAAACCAATTTATCTGTCTCTTTTCACCTATTCCTCCCAAAGCTACTGAATCACTTCTTCCCCACCACAGGTGACTTTCAATTATTGGATCCCAGTCTCCTGATCCTTCCTGACAACCTGTCTTCCTTGAAACCAGGATACAACTTCAACGTATCTTTCATTAATTCCCTGGATACTTTCTCCCTTTAGACTATCTGCCATGCTAGTTATTAATCCTGGGTCCAACAAAAGATTTGCCCATATTCTAAGCTTCAGAGACTTAATGAAGACAGCCTTGCTACAAATTTTAATATTTAGCAATTACATTGGATATTTGTTGCTATACAGATTCTGTCATTTACTGCTTCATCTCCCTCTTTACTTCTCTAAAAACAGTTTAAAAAGCACTATCTCTGTATCCCTGCATGGCTAAACCTGATTTCAGAACCATCAGCATTATAGTCATCTGGGATAATTGAATGAAAAATGCAAATACCTTAGGCCTGCCTGAGACCTACCGAATAAAAATCTTCAGGAGGGAGTACAAGGAAGAGACTATATATTTGAATATTCTACCATCTCCCCAGGTAATTTTTATTAAAACCTAATTTATACACCATTGCTCCATTAAGTAAACTCACCATCATCTTCCTTCCACTGAGAAAATCAAGGAAAGAGCAACTTTGGTCAACCTCTCTGTACAGTCAGGTATGACGCAGATACTTCATCTGCCCTTTTTTCCATTCCAATTTTCTTTTCTTTTCTTTTTTTATTTCTTGACAGGCAGAGTGGACAGTGAGAGAGAGAGAGAGACAGAGAGAAAGGTCTTCCTTTGCCGTTGGTTCACCCTCCACTGGCCGCCGCGGCCGGCGCGCTGTGGCCGGCGCACCGCGCTGATCCGATGGCAGGAGCCAGGTGCTTCTCCTGGTCTCCCATGGGGTGCAGAGCCCAAGGACTTGGGCCATCCTTCACTGCACTCCCGGGCCACAGCAGAGAGCTGGCCTGGAAGAGGCGCAACCGGGACAGAATCCGGCGCCCCGACCGGGACTAGAACCCGGGGTGCCGGCACCGCAAGGCAGAGGATTAGCCTAGTGAGCCGCGGCACCGGCCCATTCTAATTTTAAACATGAAGTGCAGGCTTCTTTTCCAAAAGCAGCTCATAATCTATCTGGCCCATTCCTTTTTAACTCTTTCAAAATATTCCTTTTCTAATAATTCTCTCATTTTCTACAATTCTCAGGCCCTCTTTACTGAATCCCATTACTCTGAAAAAAGTATGACTGTTCCCTTTTGGAAAACAAACAAAAAAGGCTTTCAATTGATACCACTCCTCCTTAGACTACCCTCCTACTTTTCTTTCCTTTTCCCCCCTTTCCCAACTCCCCAAATGGCCTATTTTATCCTACAAGCAGAAAATACCTCTACCACCATGGTTTTACATAAATTTGTTCTTCAGCTCCTATAAGCTGACTTTCTTCCATTCCCTATTCCACCAAAGGTTCACAAATGGCTACCCAACATCTACCATCTCTCTGCTCTATCTCAATCCTCATTATCATTGATCTACCATTCTTAAAACTCTCCAAACCTGAGATTTCTGAAGTTATGAAGGGTTCTAAAACTGCTGCTGTCTAGGTACACACATAGAACTTGTGATTTAAATGGCCTGGGGTATGAAATTAAATTTGAAATTTAAAAATGCCCAAATGATTTTAATGTGCACATATATTGGAGAATAAGTGCTCCAAACAATCTTCATGACATTAAACTTAGTTCTTTTCCTTCCACTTAAACTTCTACGTTTCTTTATTTAAAAAAAAAAATTATTTATTTATTTATTTGAAAGCTAGAATTACAGTAAGTGAGGGAAAGACAGAGGGAGATTTTCCACCTGCTGGTTCACTCCCCAGATGACTGCAATGGCCAGGGCTAGGCCAAGATGAAGCCAAGAGCCAGGAGCTTCATCTGAGTCTCCCACGTGGGTGGCAAGGGCCAAAAAACTTGGGCCATCTTCTGTTCCTTTCCCAGGCCATAGCAGAAAGCTAGATTGGAAGTGGAGCAGCCAGGTCTCCAACCAGTGCCCATGTGGGATACAGCACCACAGGCAGTGTCTTTATCCACAAAACCACAGTGCCGGCCCCAATTACCACAGTATTTCTCTTCTGCCCCAAAAAATAGTCACTAGAAGGGGACATGAGAATAGCTTCTGGAACACTGGTACTGTATTGTTTATCTTGTTCTGAATGATAATTACACAGGTGTTTGTAGTTCAGGATGGTTTCTCTATATACTTATGATTTGTACATTCTTCTATGCTGTATCTAAATTTTAAACAGCCAATGAATCAGGTGTCCCTCACAGTCCACTGATGTACAAAGCTTCTATCCAGCTACCAAATTTTTACAAAGGATGTTAAACTTACCAAATGTTGGTCTGCTTTCTAAAGCAAATCTGTTAGTCTCAAAATAGCAGCTTTTCAGTTCCCATTAAAACATGCAGATAAAAGTGACTTTACACAAGCCTGTAGGTGGATATGCACTCCACTTACTGCTCTTGGTAACCGCTAAGCATCCTGAGAAAATAAGATACGCATCCATTTTCTCACCCTATCTTTCATCTTGATATTTTACAGTATATATGCCAAAAATGTATCTTCAGCACTTATCAGAATAAACTGTGACTTTTATACAATTTATGTGTCAGAGAGCTCATTTTCGGAAAAACTCCACTTGATCCTTTGCCAGACTACCAAATTCCCTAAATAATTTTTAGGCTGAGCTTTTGATACATACTGAGAAGAACAATGAATAAAATCAGATGACTGTGTTGACAGCATGGCTGATTTAAAATCCAAAAATGTATAATGCAGGCAATTATGAATTATTCTATATTCCTTGATAGTACTCAGCAGTAGAAAAAAAGAGAGGCATGGTTACTCTAGACAAATAAAGGCCAAGGTCAAAAAGGAATTGGTGAGTCTAACTGAAATTAACAAACTACAGGATCTGACTAATAGAAAAGGAAATGCAGCCAAGAGACTGATATAACTGGGAGAATAGGAGGAGTCCAGAACAAAAGATCAAAGAGCACATTTATCAAAACTCAATCAGCAAAAAATGGTAGGAAGGCAAGAAGTCATGGTGGAATGAGAAAGAGTTTCAGAGTTCAAGATACATTTCATCTACCTACTTATGCACCTGAAAATGAATTAAAAATATCTACTATTAGAATTATCATTCTATAGCACTAATAATTATAGGTGCCTGACCATACGTAGAATGTAAATAAATAAGGGGCAATAATCATAAGGTAATGAGGTAAATTCAAATTACTATTACTGTTTACCTAGAATACAATTATACATTGATTTCTGAGAAAAAAATAAAATTTATTAGATTACCCAAATATTCTTTTCTTAAGGATAAGTCACCATTGATTGGACAGAAATTCTATGCACAAATATATAACCATTCAAGTACAAACTCAAAGTAAAACAAAATTTTACTTTTTTCTGATACAATTTCCAATCACAGTACCATGGTGTATAAAAATTATTTTTGTATCTGAGGAATTTCTATAACACCCTTATAACTCAATATTCCCCATAATGAGACTAATCAGAAATGTAAAGAACACAGATTACTTATAAAATAGATCTGCTCTTCTTGCTGCAGACTCAACTAAGCCATAAATAAGACATTAGGATTTTTAGTCCTCATAAGCAAAGAGAAAGATTAAATTATATAACATTAAAATTTGGTCTTGGGTCCACATAACTCATTAGGTGCCAATTACTCATTATACATTCAGCCCATCTGGATTTCTTTGTCAAACATCTCAAACCTGACTGCAAATTTTTAACAATTCTCTACTCAGCAAACGCATTAACCACAGCTTTGCCAATAATAAAATGATACTTAATGCATACTGCTTACCTGTCTCAACAGTTTCTCAATGGCTGACATTACCATAAGTCCTCTCCAAACAACTGGTGCAGTCTCTTCAACCAGGAAGCCCATAGACATACTGAAAAAATAATGTACAAGCACAATTGATCTAAGTTAATTAGTATTATTCTAAAAATTGTAAAGTAAGAAAAGATATGCTTACCAAGCAATACCATAATTTAAAAGAGGCCTCATTAGGTTACCTGAAATAAGAAAAAAATCTCTTTTAGAAGAGTAAATCATTTGTTGTTTGACCTTTAAAAATTTTAACTGAAAAGTGATCCCTGTTAAATATAAGAGTGGGAATAAGAGAGGGAAGAGATGTACAATTTGGGACATGCTCAATGGCACTCGCCCCAAATGGTGGAGTTAGAATTATGCCAGGGGATCCCAATACAATCCCATCAAGGTGGCATGTACCAATGCCATCTCACTAGTCCAAGTGATCAATTTCAGTTCACAATTGATCACACTGATAGGTCTAAGAGTCAAAGGGATCACACAAATAAGACTAGTATCTGCTAATACTAGCTGATAGAATCAAAAAGGGAGAGAATGATCTAAAATGGAAAGCGGGATACACAGTAGACTCATAGAATGGCAGATGTCCTAAATAGCACTCTGGCCTCAGAATTAGCCCTTAAGGCATTCAGATATGGCTGAAAAGCCCATGAGAGTATTATAGGCATGGAAAGCCAAGACACACTGGAAAAAAAACAAAAAAGAAGAAGACCTAAATGAAAGATCTCTGTGAGTGAGATCCCAGTGGAAAGAACAGGCCATCAAAGAAGGAGGTACCTTTCTCTGAAGGGAGGAGAGAACTTCCACTTTGACTATGACCCTGTCGGAATAAGATCGAAGTTGGCGAACTCAAAAGGCTTCCATAGCCTTGGCAACTCATGACTAGAGCCTAGGGAGATTACTGACGCCATAAATAAGAGTGTCAAATTGTTAAGTCAACAACAGGAGTCACTGTGTACTTACTTCTCATGTGGGATCTGTCATTAATGTCTTGTCCAATGTAAATTAATGCTATAACTAGTACTGAAACAGTATTTTACACTTTGTGTTTCTGTGTGGGTGCAAACTGATGAAATCTTTACTTAATATATACTGAATTGATCTTCTGTATATAAAGATAATTGAAAATGAATCTTGATGTGAATGGAATGGGAGAGGGAGCGGGAGATGGGAGGGATGTGAGTGGGAGGGAAATTATGGGAGGGGGAAGCCATTGTAATCCATTAACTGTACTTTGAAAATTTATATTTACTAAATAAAAATTTTAAAAAAAAATTTACTTAGTACATTTTAATTGACAAGTAGTAATTTTTAAATGTATTTATTTATTTATTTACTTTTAAATTTCATATATACAGATTTAGGAATGCAGTGATACCTCCTGCTCTACCCTCCACCCTGCCCATGCTCCCCCACTTCCTCTTCCTTCCTCTCATTCCCTCTCTTAATTTTCACAATTATCTTTCAGTTTACTTTATACTCATAAGATTAACCCTACATTAAGTAAAGAGTTCAGCAAATGGTATGAAGAAAAAAATACTGTTCCTCAACAGTAGAGACAGGGCTTTAAACAATCATCAAATCTCGGGCTGGCGCCGCGGCTCACTAGGCTAATCCTCCGCCTTGTGGCGCCGGCACACCGGGTTCTAGTCCCGGTCAGGGCGCCAGATTCTGTCCCGGTTGCCCCTCTTCCAGGCCAGCTCTCTGCTGTGGCCCAGGATTGCAGTGAAGGATGGCCCAAGTGCTTGGGCCCTGCACCCCATGGGAGACCAGGAGAAGCACCTGGCTCCTGGCTTCGGATCAGCGCGGTGCGCCGGCCGCGGCGGCCATTGGAGGGTGAACCAACGGCAAAAGGAAGACCTTTCTCTCTGTCTCTCTCTCTCACTGTCCACTCTGCCTGTCAAAAACAAAACAAACAAACCAAAAAAAATCATCAAATCTCAAAATGTCAATTTCACTCTATACATTACATTTTTTTGGTACTCTATTGGTACTACAGATCAGGGAAAACATGGTATTTGTCTTTTTGGGACTGGCTTATTTCACTAGGTATACTGATTTCCAGTTGGATCCATTTTGTTGCAAAAAGACAGGGTTTCATTCTTTTTTACGATTGAGTATTATTCCACACTATACATATATACCACAATTTCTTTATCCAGTCATCAGTTGACAGACATCTTGCTGATCCCATATCTTAGCTACTGTGAACTGAGCTGCAATAAAGATGGAGATACAGACAATTCTTTCATATGCTGTTTCATTTCATTTTTGTAAATTCCCAGGAGTGGGACTGCTGGGAAATATGGCCGATCCATTTTCAGCTTTCTGAAATATCTCCTTATTGTCTTCCATAAAGGCTGTACTAGTTTACATTCCCACAACAGTGGATATGCAGAGGTATACTGTCATACTACAACTCATATATTGCACAATGATTGAATCAGGCTAAATTAATATAGTGATCACCTCATAGTCTTTCATTCTGATAAGAACACCTGACATGTCTTCTTTTGGCAATTTTGCAAGACATTATTAGTAATAACAGTCAATGTGCTATGAAAGAATAGGTCATTGGTACTTACTCCTCCTAACTAAAACTTTGATAAACAACTCCCCTTTCATGTCTACCCCAAGCTTCTTATCAAATTGCCATATCAGAGCTACACATAGAATTCTTCCAAGATGGCTGAATAGGGAAGGGATATACTGCTTTAGGCTAGGGGAAAATAGTAGCAAAAAAAGTAGAAAAAACACATTTTCCATGGAGAGTTGGAGAGAAATCTGCAGTGGAAATCCTATAGAAGGAAAAGGGACACCATGGATGAGCATGGCAAGTGTGGATGTGCAGCAGTAAGTGCAGACACAACACAGGACCGCCACAGACAAATGCTGGAGGGAGCACCAGCTTTGCAGAGTGAGATGAGAGAAGACTGCAGCAGCCCACGCCACTGGTTTACAGCTGGAGGGAGAGCCTGGTGGAGTACACTGCCTTTGAGTCTGATCTGGAGTGCTAAAGAGGACAGAGCACCCACCTAACACAGGGAAAAAAAAAAAAAAAAAGGCATGTTTCACTCTCCATAACACCCTGACAATGGTGCCCGGCAACTGGCTGGTGGCTGGGAGAGGACACCATTTTGACATGAGTAACAATCATGGCGGTTCTTGTTTACACATGTGATCCATGGATTTTACCAGAGGGAAAAAGTGATGGTCTCACTGACTTTGAGTCTGGTGGGAGAATTGACAGGGGGATGGACGCCCACATAAAACTGTGAGGTGCCCCCAAGCCCTCAACATATTACAGGCTCCAGGGCTTAAACTGCCAAGTCAGAGTACCCACAGGCAGCTGGCTCTGAGAATATCTCTGCCTCTCTGTGGAACAGACAAGCTAGCAGGGTGGAGCAGTTCCTCTGCACCCCATGACTGTGGGAGCTTGTGTGCTGAGACTGTGGGAACTCTGTGAATGCACCACTGGGCACAGGGTGAGGCTGGATTTCTGAGTAATCACAGTGTGAGGCACCAGAGGCTAAGAGCCCCCTGATTTTCTAGAGTGGGTTATTGTAGTGGGATCTGTACCCACACAAAGGTTGCACAGATACTTTGTGCAGTTCATGTGGCATCACAGGTGACTGTTGTACCCATTGTGGGCTAACCCAGGGTACTGATCACCTTGGTAGAGAAAAGATGAGGGTATGATTATACCAACAGAGATGATCATACCCTCTCCCCTGCTGACAATAGAGGAGATCTAATACACCCAACTTGGGTGTCATTCTGGATACTCACCCCACTCTGAAACACTAACCAGAACTCCTGGCCACACCCAGCACATGCCTCTGGGTATTCACTGAAAGAGCAGACATTCCACTAAGCCAAAGAGGCATAGTCCAAAGATAAAAGCCATCAGAGGAGAAAACCAACAAGTATTTCCATAAATACCTAAAAATAAATGTGGACATTCAAGAAACAAGAATAAGGAAGACAAAATGACTCACTCAAAGGAACACAACAATACTTTGATATTAGAATGTGAAGATGAAAAGATTGATGAAATGCCTGAAAGGAATTCAAAAAGATTAATCACAGGATGACTTAGAAGAAATGGAGGCAAATTCATGAGTTAAAGAAACCCACACGTGACATGGAAGAAAAATTTTCTCATGAGATTAAGATTTCAAAGAGAAATCAAAATGAAATATTAGAAATGAAGAATTCAATAGATCAAATACAAAATACAGTGGAGAGCCTTAACAACAGACTTAATGAGGCAGAAGAAAGAATATCCAAGCTAGAAGACAAATCATCGGAAATCTCTCAAAACAAAAAAGAAGAAATTAGAAAAATTAAAAACAGTGTTGAAGATTTATAGGATACTATAAAACAACCGATACACAGGTTTTAAGAGTTCCTGAAGGCATGGAAAGAGAGAGTGTATTAGAAGGCCTATTCAGTGAAATAATTACAGAAAACTTCCTTAATTTGGATAAAGAAAGGGACGTTAGAGTATAGGAAGCACACAGAACTCCCAATAGACATGATCAGAAAAGATCTTCACCATAACACAACACACTGTAGTCAAACTTTCAACAATAAAACATAAAGATTCTAAAATGTGCACAAGAGAAATGCCACATTTACTTTAAGAGGATCATCCATTAGAAACACAGTTGATTTCTCATCAGAAACCCTACAGGCTAGGAGAGAATGGAGAAACATACTCCAAGACTTAAAAGAAAAAAAAACTGTCAACCAGAATACTGTACCCTGCAAAGATCTCATTGATAAATGAAGGTGAAATAAAGACCTTCCATACAAACAGAAATTGAAAGAATTTGTCACCATTTATCCAGCCTTACAAATGATGTTTAAGGATGTGCTACACACAAAAACACAAAAAGACAGTCATCAGTATGAAAGAATGTAAAGGCAGAAAATCTATCAGTAAAAGTACAGAGGAAATCCAAAGCAAACAGAAGCAATATTTTTGGGAAAATGACAAGGCCAAATCAATACTTTCAATAATAACCTTGAGTCTAAATGACCTAAATTTTCCAATTAAAAGTCATAGACCAGCTGAATTTATTCAAAAACAAGACCCATCTATTTGCCGCCTATAAGAAACACACCCACCAACAAAGATAGACAAAGACTTAAAGTGAAAAGGATGGAAAAAGATATT